GGAGGGGAAAAGCAGGGAGGGGGCAGAAGAGGAGGGGAGGGGAGAGGAGGGGAGAGAGGGAGGGAAGTCTGATCTTGCCCAGATCCCGAAGTGAAGTGCTGTTTTGTTTCAGAGCGTGTGATTAGCAGCTCGGTAATGTTTATTTAGCCGAGCTGAATTCGCAGGGTTTGGTGAAAGAGCAGAGCACGGGGGACGCTGCTGTCTCCTAGACATCCAGCGCAGCGGCGGGGAGAGCTGCTGCCGCTCGGGCTAAGCCCACAGACCTGAAATTAATCACCCGCATTCCTGCCAAAGTCTATAGTTACTGTAGGGATAACAAGGCTCAAAGAATTTCCCGACACCCCACCAGCCCCCATCTTTCTCCAAACCAACAGACATGGTAAACATTATCAACTAAATCAGCGCAGATGGACCGAGACAACTGCTTGCTCTCTGCACGCTTGACAAGCAAGGAACATCGGCTGCAGCTTCTCGGGTGTAAGCATCTCGAGTACCACAGAGGAGAGGGATGTGGAGAGGTGGATGTGCCAGAAACATCAGATTCATTTCCACATCAACCTGCAACCGTGCATATCGGAGTTTCAGGCTACATAAGTGTACATGCACGCACACCACGTACACGACAGCTGTGAACACAGTCCACCTAAGTGAACCTGGGAGGTCTGCTCCGACACTTGGAAAAATCCAAACACACAAAACCAGGAGAAAGCAAGGAGAGCAGGTCTCATTATTTGCCTTTATACAGGGCACACTGAGGCACAATGACACTAAATGACTTACCTAAATCCACAAAAGAAGTTTACAGCAGTGGGAAAAAAAAGTGAACCTAGACCCCTGGGGTCCCTAACTCCAGTGTTTTGATCGCCAGTTGCTGCTCTTCTCTCCCTCCCTCCGCTGCTTTCTAAGTGGAGGGGAAAGTTGGAAAGGTATGTCCTCAATCAGGACCTGAATACTTTCAGGATGCTAGATGTACAAGAGGGTACAAAACCCTTTAACCCCTTTCTCTGGGACAAGACTGTAGCAGATTGATGAATACAACTGAATTTAAGCACAGCTTCCAAGGAAGTATGGAAAATAGCAAGCAGCTTAAAACCCTCCTTGTACCTACTAAGGCATTTGCTAGTATCAGATCTGTAAATTTCTAGGTTCTAAACTGACCTTTGGAAGTTGTTTAGCAACAACCTAATGTTGTGTGCCAAATAAAGATGTTTCTCCATCAAGATCTCTGTGAGAATGCTGAACATTTTACTTTCTGGAAGGTTACTTGCCAAGAGCTTTGCTACTGTAAGATTGTCTATAGTTTAGTCTTTATGTTATATGTTTATAAAGAATGTAAACCAGCACAGCCTCAAAATACATGTTCAGTAAAGATAGTTAATATTAACAGTTGGATGAGATTTTAGCTTTTATCGCAAATATGGAGTTACTGACAATGTCCATCCACATGCTTCTGAAGAGGTGGCAGTCAAAGCTTTTGTAACTGCGCTGAACAGCAGCATTCAAGTCTTAGGCACACGCCTGCTTAGGCACCTGCAAAAGTGGCCACGATACCATCTACATTGCTTCTGCCAGACTACTTGGAGAGCCAGGCTGACTGTAGAAACTTCCACGGCTGAGAGAAGGGTTCGACTATGAGAGAATAAAAGCACAAGTTGCTTTTTCTGTTCCTCTAATCCTGCTGAATGAGGCAGAAAGAGCAATCCTGACTTTCCAGTGTAATCTGCCAGGTCATCTGCCACCACTCAGTCCTCTCCCTTCACTGTTCCCCTCCCATCACCTGCCAGTATGAGGGCAACGACCCATCATCTTTAAGGCAACAATATTCAGTCTGCTTTTGCTACTGAAGCTTTGAGTTGGCTTAGTTATGCAGAATATTTAGTTGCATGCTTCCGAAGACCCACATTCGTGTAGGTAATTAAGGGACTACTGTTCAGCAGTGTCATAGACTCTTGGGTATCATTTGATCGCTATGTTCAGCTCATTCATTTTATGAGAACAAGGTTCACTTTATCCAGGTTCTTCAGTCAAATGTATCAGTGAAGAAAACCAAACCAATATGCAACTGAAAATAACAAGATAACTATAACCATACTGGTATGAGACGCCTGTGAATTTGCTTCATTCTCCATACTCGACTTCTCATTTCTTTTGCTGAGATTGACTGAAAAGCAATTACCTGACTGAAGTGTTCACAGTGGGAACCGCACACGCTTCTGCACAATCTGCCTTTGTTCTGAGCCAGAGTTCTGGGTTCTAACTCAACGCTCCTCCGAGGATTTCATTTCAAGTCCTCTTTCACAATTTTGTTTTTTATGAATTTTTTTGGTACCAAACTAATTAAAAGTTAACTAATTAATCAGCATCTATTGACTCTTTAAACTTAAAATAGATCCTATATCTCTCACTTTTTTATCCCCAAATTGGCCTGGCCTGTTTCTTTTTTGTTTAAAAGCTAAAGTGCTGGAAAGTTTCCTAGAAAGGTATAATACCGTTTGTCTTGTTAAAAGTGAATGCTTCAACTTAGCAACTGATACAGAGAAATTAACTTGCACTGCACTGCCTACAGCCATGAAATGAGTAATTTGTTGTAGAGATGGTTTAGAGATGGTTTAGAATATGGGCAATGTCATTAAGCATGGGCATCCTCAGGGTTTTCTATTTGTTCTACTAATTAGTGTGTGTTTGCCTAAAGCATCCAGCATGATGTATCAGTCAAAGACACATGCAAACTGATGAATCCAACCATCCATGGCAAATCTAACAGAGAAAGCTTCGTATCTTAGAGACTGCAGCGCTGCTTTTCTTTGTGTACTTTCTGGGATGAATAAAGTTGCTGTCCATGACTATTAGGCATAACAATCATTACTGGGGTAATATTGCATTTGATGGAGCTGTAATGGTTAGAGGAAACCCTCTACCCTCCCCCTCGCCCCTACAAAGTGGGCTTTCCTAACAAACAAAAGCATTTCACAATATCTGCAGTCTTTCTTACTTTTTGCTTTTCCAATAAGGAGCTTATTTTTAAATGGCATTTTAGAAGACTGCACTAACTACTGCAGAATATCCCTGCATTGACTGGAAGGTATCACAGGTGGCGTTTTAAAAATTTTTCTTTCCTTCTGCTTCTATGATTTCAAATAGCTATTTGAAGTCTTGGGAATTATCTACAAGGCAATGTGTCCAATGCAATGCTTGGCTATGCGACGCCTGATTTTAAGGCCCCTAGCCTTCAAAGTAAACCAGTGCCTCAGGTAAATGTCTAAGCTGATTATAAGATTATTAGACCCCTTGGAAGATTCAGTTCACAGAACAGAGGCCAACAAAACTAGCCAATAAGAAACATCAAGGTGACAGGTGCCCTAAATCTCATGGCCATCAGGTGTTTGATAACTTTACTGGGCTGTAGGACTCACCTTCCCAAACCCAGGAGCTGGAAGCTTAAGCCCACTTTTAATATATTATATAAATAAATATAGTAATAATAACAGGGGAATGCATCTCTTTCAAAAGGCGTCTGGCAAGAATGATGCCTACTCTTTTACACAAGAGCTGGTGATTATAGTATTCATTTAGGATGCTAGAGAGACATGGGCTTCAATTCCTTGCTTGGTTTGTAGGTGTTCAAATCCTCATCTCTCACTTCTCGTGAAGCTTCTAACCGTGAAGCTCTAAGTCTTCTGGAAGCACCCTCAGTCCCTCATGGAAATGTTAGACTTCTAAAGTTGAGCTCTCAGCCAGAGAGAAAGGAAAGTGAGGGTGCTCTATCAATTAGGATGCATTTTCTGGAGACTGAGATCTAGGGTGCCTTTTCTTCCTCAGAAGAAATTAATTGTATTGGGATCAATAGCTATTCAGTGTTCAGGTGATCACCTAACATTGGAAGTTTGCAGTAAGTGCATTCTGAATACCACTACCAAATTAACAGACATAGGTTGAGGAAAGTCCCCAAAAGATCTTTTCCTCATAAGCTAAATGTTTAGTTGCTCATCACTGCCAAGACAAAGGATACTGCTGTTCGGGCAAAGAAAGAGTGCATCGGATGACTGGCAAATAACACTGCAAAACAATCTGCAATAAAACCTTTGGTGACTGGAAGGGTAAGCAGGGAATTCGAGGATTGCACTTTCAAATATGCCTATCCTATTTTTAGACCTTTATGTCTTACTTTGGACCTAGCTATTAGTCTAATCTGTATCTCTATCTCCTTTCCCACCCCCCACCCCCAGCAGTCACGGTCAGTTTTTCTTAAGCAAGACAGAAACTGCCTCCATTGATTTAGATAGAATAATAATCCCACTGCTACTAAAATTCCCCTCTATCTACCATTAGAATAGGGCTTTTCTAATACCGATTGGTCCATGCTGTCTTTGAAGCTTGTTTAAAAAAAGATCTGGAGATATCTGTTGTCCTGTTAGACAAAGGAAAGGGCTTGGGAGACACTTAAGATGATTCCTTACGGCGCTGTAGCACTGTTCTCAACTTCCTTTCTCTTAGGAATCTAAGAAGTGAAGAGTAATGACAGTAAATGTTTGCAGAGGTCTGTTCACCATTTATACCACTGTCAGTCAATACAATGCCTCTCCAATATTAAACTTCCCAGTAGCTCAATTATATTTGCCTGTTTAGCCATGCATGTCTTCAGCACATGATTCCTTACCGCGCTGTAGCACTGTTCTCAACTTCCTTTCTCTTAGGAATCTAAGAAGTGAAGAGTAATGACAGTAAATGTTTGCAGAGGTCTGTTCACCATTTATACCACTGTCAGTCAATACAATGCCTCTCCAATATTAAACTTCCCAGTAGCTCAATTATATTTGCCTGTTTAGCCATGCA